TAAGAGGGTTCCCCTTTCTTCACATCCTCGCCAACATTTGTTGTTTCTTGCCTTGTCCATTTTTGCCATTCTAACTGGTGTAAGGTGGTATCTCCATGTGGTTTTGATTTGAATTTCCCTGATGGTTAATGATGTTGAACATCTTAAAAACATGTTTCTTGCCCTCTATTTCCTCTATGTCCCTTCCTGAAGCTGGATTGTGAATAAGGTGCTGGTGAGCCATTTCCCACCCTGCGGATAAGGAGAACTTAGGGAATGGTAGACCAACGAGATAGGAGGAACCTGGTCTCAGGATGACTTGTGGGACAGGAACACCAGGCTCACCCTCAAGCACAGATGTTCACATGAAAGAGAACTAAGCCTTCTGTATTATTTAAGCTACGGTTCATTGTTCCCTGTGAAAGCAGCTGAACAAAAAATCAAACATGGTAGAAAGACAAAAATGCCTTTGACATTCCCTTAGGAAGGAGTCACATGAAGACTACACAGTATATATGGGCAAGTCTGAGATGACCTGTTTTTCTTCTGGAATAGTTGCTTCTTCTTCTGACGAAGTCACTGGCTTGCATTCAGGACGGATATTAGATGAACAATGTCTACCACTAACTGTGAGAAGCACGTTGAGTAGGCCAAGGGGCGCCCACCTGTGGAAGGCCCATGGAAACTGAAAGGAAGGTCTCCAATTGGACCCACACTCCAGGACATAGTCACTAAAAGGGCTCTTGGATGGAATGATCCCCACTATTTAAATTATTCACTCCCTCTTGCTCCATCTTCCCTCGTGTACATATAGTACCTTTTACTTAAATTAACCCCATCAGACATATCTCTGTCTTACCTGGACATCTACTAGGGCCTCCTGCATGGCTCATTGTCATCTAACTTTGTTGCCAAATACTTGGCTACAGGTGTGTTCTTGGTGGTCTCTGGAGGCAGTAACACCTCTACCATGACCACAGGGAAAATCCTGTGAGGATGGATTTCTGGGTCCCTCCCATGTCCAGATGCCAAGTCCTAAAATGCCCCCCGAGGATAAAGCTTCTGCAGGGCTCCCTTCATGTCCTTATTCCTCAGGCTGTAGATAAGTGGATTCAGGGTGGGCGCGAGGACAGAGTAGAGGACAGCAGCCATGCGCCCTTGCATCGGGGAGTAGCTGGTGCTGGGCTGCATGTAGCCAGAGCTCCCAGTGCTATAAAACAGGAGCACGGTGGCCAGGTGGGAAGAGCACGTGGAGAAGGCCTTCTAGCGGCCAGCGGTGGAGTGGATCTGAAACACAGCGGCCAACATGCGGACATGGGACGAGACAGTGAGGCCAAAGCAGCTCATGATGACACAGCGGCTGACTGCAGATCCTGCAGCCTCATGGGCATCTGCGTTGGCACAGGCTAGACGCAGGAGTGGGGGGATGTCACAGGAGAAGTGGTCAATCACGTTGCGGCCACAGAAGGGCAGGGAGAAGGTGCTGGCTGTGTGGAAGGCTGAGAAAATGAGCCCACTGCCCCAGACCACCGACACCAGGGAGACGCAGGCCTCGGGGCTCATGGCTGCTCTGTACACCAGGGGCCTGTAGATGGCCAGGCAACAATCGAAAGCCATGGAGGTGATGAGAAAACACTCTGTGGACCCAAGGCAGACAAAGGCAAAGAGCTGGGATGCACACGCACGGAGGGAGATCTCCCCGGAGCCCAGCGTGGTGGCCACCAGGGCCCGGGGCAGGGTGGTGGACACGGAGCAGATACCCACCAAGGAGAGGTGCTTGAGGAAGAAGTACATGGGCGTGTGTCACGGCGGCCGCGATAGCGATGTTTCCCAGAATCTCAGCCAGGTAAATGAGAAAGAAGGTGGCAGCGCTGAGCAGCCGTAACTCTGGGACAGCTGAGAAGCCCCGGAGGAGGAAGACAGAGACTGCAGTGAGATCTGTCATGAACTGCCGAGGACGCTCAAGGAGCAGTGCGGGAGGGGAATAACGAGACAATAGCAAAGACCTAGGAGGAAAAGAAGGGGGGTGAGCTGCATCTGGATTAAACACACATGCACTGTCTTCCCTAGAGGTCTCAGATTCCAAATACTCACGGAGGCCTGGCAGATACATATATCCGTGAATCTGGCGCAGTGTCATGGTGGGGGTGTATGGAACGTTCTGTTCAAGTGAGACAACTGCTCTAAGCTCCCACCAGCTGTTGCTGGGGGTCCAAGCGCTGCCAGAGCCTCTGATATTTGTCAAGAAAAGCCCAAATTCCAGGGCGCCTGGGTGGCTCAGATGGTTAAGCGTCTGCCTTCGGCTCGGGTCATGATCTCAGGGTCCTGGGATCGAGTCCCGCATCGGGCTCCCTGCTCCTTGGGAGCCTGCTTCTCCCTCTGCCTCTCTCTCTCTGTCTCTAATGAATAAATAAATAA